AAAGCGCATTTTCAATAAGCCGATTACAATGTTTTCTTCTTTACCTTAACATGATATTGTGGATATTTTTTGTACTTTCGGCGGTTCAATCATTTTGGATGTTAAGAAAAATTGTTTAGCTAATAAATACCATGCAAGTCGTTATTTACGCTATTTTATGATTTTTAATTTATATTATTAAAATTAGTATAATTATTTTTTAAATATTTATTATTAAATATTTAAATTTTTATTGAATGATTGGTGTAGAACTTCCATCTCAATAAGGTTCTCCATGCAGTTTTCCTTGATCCGTAGAGCAAATGCTGAAATGATCCCTTGGTTTGTTTCTGTTCCGTAAATGTAGATTTTATCCTCTCTCTTTGACAATAATAGAATTGTATTATAAACTTAGAATGACCGTTACGCACATGCCTTCGTGCTGTTTTAAAAGTGTTCTAAAATGTTAACCATTAAAAATTAAGAATAATTTGGCAGTCCCCTCTTATTGTCTCAAAGACAGGCGCCTCTTGCTGGCCATCAGGAGCGCTAGCGTCAAACGGATGATTTCTCCTCCCCTTAGCGCCTCGCAACTGTTATACTAATCTCTGATGATAAGACATGGCAAAGGCAGGTAATATCGTGCGCGGTTTCAGGTCCGTTTGTTAGAGTTCTGCTTCGGCATTCGGTGGTTGGATTGGTATTGATTGGAGAGACCTAGGGAAACTGTCGATCAGAGCGGCCAGTCGCTAGATTTGTCCTCCATACAGCAGTGGAATTCAACCTAGCTACCACCTTGCTAGGGTCGAAAATCCTGCTACCGACGGGACTCGAAGACCATGACCTTCTGGTCAGAGGCTCTGCAGTGTCAGCAACTGGCGCCGGGATCCCCGTAAGTCAGTAGGAAAATTTGAAATGTTGGTGATTTAGCACGATGACAGGTGATTCTTAACAGACGTGATAACATCAGAATCAACCATTTACAGTTAGTGACCACACCACCTCTCATTGTCTGATTGCCATTGAAATTATCGACATAAAATACGCTGCACCCAGAAAACCATGACGCATTGTGATTCTTATTGGCAGGTGAGTAAAAAGCTATGACCGTTAGTCCCGTAAGTGTAGTGTATGATACACATAGTAAATAATTGTGCTTCCATTTTTGTGTGAATAGAAAGTATTTCCCTTCACGATCACATATGGTGTGTGCTAGTATGGCGTTGGGTCAGCTTGTAGGGAAACACACGTCCAGACGTCGTGGGGTGTAATTGTAGAGGTCTGAAATGGATTCCTGTGGCAGTCCTTTAACCGCAGCTTGCATATGAGCGCTTAGGTTTTGGAGATAGGAGGGTGCGTGCGAGGCTCTGATAGCTCGCTCCATAGCACCGTGGACATTATCGATAGGAAAGAGGTTTGGAGATACGGCTGGCCCCCTGACACAGTACCCATAGCCAACGACGTCGAGAAGGGGGGGAGCAACTTGCTCCAGGAAACGGCTTAGTTCAGGCTCGAAGGATTTTAATCCAATACGTACAAAATGTATTTTCTTCTTTTTCAAACGCTTAACCGTTGTAATTTTCTGTGTTGCATAGAGATATGCATTCTGTATTTGAATTTGGGCGGTGGTGACTTTAAAAGGAAATGGATCTCGTAGTTCTACCGCCTCAGATATTGTTTTCTGTGGACGCACCTGCTCGGAGCGGCGAGGATCGTAGTAGAATTAGGCCATTCACGTGGACGAACGGCCAAGTCACGTGCACGTGCATGTGGTGCCCTGGAGACGCTTCCCGTCGTGCCAATGGTTAGCAAGAGGCCCGTTTGCAAACTTATTTCATATAGGTGTTGTGGTGTGATATCTTTGGCATTTTTCATAAAATAATTAGAGACGTTGTCATTTCCAACAATGTTATTTAATGTAAGAGCAGCTCGATGGCTTAGCCATCAACATCAGTTGTCTGCTGGATGGAAGTCACAAAAACGGGTAGTCGTTTTTGTGGCTTCCATCCAGCAGACAACTGATGATGATGGCTAAGCCATTGAAAGATGCTCTTACATTAAATAATATTATTGGCAATGACAACGTCTTCTTATTTCAGCTTGTGGGACCAACGTCAACCGCCCCCTGCGTTCCTGAGTGTGAGACCGACCGTGAAAAATAAATCGTTTTCTTAGTCGATGTTGCGCAACACGTCCGCCAACTTTGCCAATCGGTTGAGTCCTCTTGAGCGCAGCGTTGCATTATACCATACGCATTTTTTTATTGAATGATTGGTGTTTCTGGCCGCGTCAACAATTAGCTCTTTAGTCCCGTAAGTGTGGTGTATGCTTTTTATCACTGGATGTGATGTACCTTTGCTGGTTGGTGATATGGATGACGTATACGGCGGCTTGCGGGTCTAGGACCTTTCCTTACCCACGCATCTCCCACCACCGCAACACCCGTATGGACAAGCTCTAAAGCTTCGGTCTGTCGACTGGTCTCTCGACACGTGTAGTAGTGTAATGCCTATAAGGGTAAATGTGTGTAAGTAATTTTGGGGTGAGGATAGGACAAGGATAAGGTAGGAATGACAGCGTGGTCCATGGCCCATTTGTTAAGGTACTGCTCCGGCATTCGCCTGGAATTTATCGGAGAAACCACTGAAAATTATCGATAAGAGAAGCCGGTCACTAGAATTAGTCTCTAAACATCGACAAAATTCGAGCTAGCTATCTAGCTAATGTCAAAAAAATCCTGTCACCGACGGAATTCGAACCATAGGAACTCCCATCAGAGACCTATGTAGATACCTACGTCAAACATAGAGCTGAAGAATCGAGAAAAAGTGTTGCCATATCATTACCCTATGGTATTGCTCTTCAATATAGCTTTTCTTGTTAAGATCAAGTATTATTATTCGCATCATCAGAAAACGCAATATGCTTACTTTCAAATAAGATTCCGAAAAAATGTCTTCCTACTTGTTCGCCAAAGGACATACATTTTATAATTACAATAAATCCTTTCTTTTTATAACACTTTTTAAACTTTTTATTTAGAGAAAAATTGACACACATTAACACATTAATAATAAAATAAACTTGGGTAATTTCCCAATACTCCTATTAATTTTTCTTTCTCGCGCTCAAGAAGGAACTTCTTAATTAAAATCTATGGCACCATTTTTTGGAAAATTTTGAAAATATCCCAGGGGCTTAATGTTAAGTACCCCCCAAAATTAATATATCAGTTTCATATTCAAGGAACTGTGACATCTGACAGGTCGATCAGGGAATATCAATTTTTGGAAAATCGGCAGAACGATTTAGCCGCTAGCGTTGTTCACAGATGGACAAACGTTTTGCCGTCTTTTCTGTATCAAGAACCTACAAAACAGAGATTCTGGCTGCAGCATGTGTTAGAAGATTTTTTTCTCTAAATTTAGCATCTCGATGTATCCAATTCTTCGTTACCAGGGTCCTGTAATACCAATTTTACTGCCAAAAATTTGCTTTTGTCGCGCAGCATTAGGTAACTTTCTCTTCTTAAATTTTGTTGAAGGACATTTAAGAGAATCGCGGAGGTGTCATGTTGGTTCAAAACCCTGATATTTGACAATTGAAAAAAATCAAAATTGTAACGGCGTCTTCCTACAACTACATACATTTTTCACAAATGAAATGTGATCATCAAATACAGATTTTCAAATAAGATCATGTTGAATTTTTCGAAATTATGAGTATATTTGGACTAATTGGGCGTCAAAGTTAGTCGCTCTCTCTGAAAATACTACGATTCATGATCGAAATTTTAGGTGTTTTGAGGCAATTGGATGCTATGTAAATTAGAATGTGTATATTATTTCATACTTCTTTGTTCGTTTCTTACATTAGAGCTTTTGTTATACGTTTACAAATTAACCTTTTCGTAAAAATCTTAAAATTTATATGTGGTTTTGAAACGAATATTTTTACTTTGTTACAGTTGCTGATCCAATAAAAAAGAATGCAGTTTCTTCTCATCTTGGAGATTTTCGATTTAACCGCAAAAAAATTACTTTTTTAATGACTGAAAGATGTAAGAATGAACTAAAATAAAGAGATAAGACGGGGAATAACATTCCAATGCAATTTCTCCTATCTAGGCAAATTTCGCAGTTCCATTATTTCATATTTCATTCCATGTAGAAGAAAGAGTGATCCACAAGTTCACTACTAAAATTAATGATTTTTACGATTAGCATTTTAGATTATTAGTTATCCTAATGATAAATATACAATAATAATATCTTATTTTAAGTGAATGGTAATTTTATAAATACGGTTCTAACTAGCGTTGCCTGTGGTGTAAAAGATAGGTTCTATCTACAACAAAATGACTGTAATTGTATTACTGACAGCAGATATATGTTATAGTATATGACAGTGCTTCCCAATGTTAAGTCGTAGTGGAGGTAGTTCTTACCTCCACATAACCTTGTTCATCAGTAATGTTCTATCTTCTTCTTTACTACACTCACATACATACAAATGGTAGCCAAAATTCTAAGAAAGGTTCTCGATTTGACTCGTCTACTTGAAAACGCAGAATTTTGTTATCACGAACATGTATGTAAAATTTATTTCCTTTATTTTTCGGTCCTTTTTTAGACTGTACGATTCCCGTTATATTTGTACCAACGATTTCATTGATTTCGCTACCAACTAAGTCATTTTTTATGAATTAATGTTTGTCACTTTTGACTTACATACGAGAAGCGACGGGAGTTCTACAAGTTTACAATTAGAAAACTTTGCAACTAGAAAACAGTACTGCCTACATTTAAAAAAAATTGTTGTTTTTATATTAGAACTCTCAGTAGTTTCACAGAACTGCTTTCGGGAAAGGCACAGTGATTCCAATTAGTTACAGCAAACGAAAGCCTTTTACCATTGCTGACATTACCGCATCCGCCGCAAAAGTGGAGTAAGAACCCTATCGAAGGCGACGTAAGTGATTTGTTTGGGGCCGACCAAACCACAAGAAAGCAATTGTTCGACAAAATCATAATGAAAGGAAACGTCAGTATGTCGTTTCCTCCTAAACTGAGAGGTCACTGATTTTCTGTAGTTCTTGGAATACACGAAACTTGAAATACGAGTGAGTGAAGTGAATTGAGTCTGGATCGTTTAGAGAGGATCGAAGCAAAAGCAACAAACAACCTAGAGATGGGCCTCGCCGGCGTCGTTTTGCTCCTCGTGCTGTGCTCAATGCTGCAGGTCAGTGACACCACATGAAGGCATAAGTCCTTTCCTTTTCAGATTTCTTTTTCTTCTATTAATTGTGCTTTCATATCAGTCGCCTAGGTTGGTTTCCAAATCTACTATAAATGGAAGTAAAATCCTATTAAAGCCCATTGAAGAATTCAGGAGAAATAATTGGACATAATGTACATGTACAAGTCTTTCTTAATGACGTTCAGGGTTATTCTTATTCAATAGCGTAGAGAAACTCGGATAAATCTTAACTTAAACGAAGTAGTATGTAGTAATTACTACTTTAAGTTGTATATTTATTTTGATTTGTATCTACGTGATTACTGTAAAACCATAAAACTGTGAATAATCGTAACAGTAATAATAATAATAATAGAAATAATAATAACAATAATAAAAGCCAAAACCATGGTGCAGACGCTTGCGGCAGCCGCGTCGTCTGCGCCGAGGAGACTGCAGGTTAAAGTCCTGCGTAGGCATGGTCGTATTTGTGATTGTCCCTTCACCCCTCATTATCATCTTATCACTTCATAATTCATAATTCAACGCATAAAACCTCGTCTTATCAAGAGATACAGCTGGAAAAAACTGATCCCCATAATTGCAGTTAGTCTCTCCGGGGCCTCGGAAGATAACGTGTAGCGTGGTCGAAAATGGGCGATAAGCTAATAATAATAATAATAATAATAATAATAATAATAATAATAATAATAATAATAAACGGTAAAAGTTTCCCAGTTTTCTTTGAATATCTATGCGCATTGGAAATCAGTAAATTACGCATCGTTTACAATTAATAGGAGAAAATATATGTTGTTATTAACATATCTGTTTTGCCATGTGATACTCTTCCACCACAATGGATGAGGTATACGAGCATATGAATTAAATACAGCTCCTAGTAAATAAATGAAGGATTTAATACATACCATTCATGAATAACTGATCCGTGGGCGGGAGAATCCACTCCCTTAAAAAAATTTCCAGAAAATAGTGCATTTTCTAAAAGTAAGCAGTCAGGCAACTAAGGTTTGTTAAATTTCATGCAATATGTAAAATGAAAAATTAAAATCAAACTACTTTACCCTATTGAAAACAAGGTGCAAAGAAACTCCATGGTTTCACACAGTTTGTGAACACAGAGCTAAACAGGCTTATGAAAAAAACACTTAATATTTAATATTTACAAAGATTTGTTCAGGTCTGAATCTGCAGGTTGTAGTGGACTATTGTGAGATAATCTGATAACTATGATAACTTAAATATGTAATGTATCACACATAATTAGTACTATCATTGATCATATTTTGTAACGCTACACATGTGTCATATTGCTTTTACGTAGCGTGTAGATACACTCACTAATCGTTTCATTTAAAAATAAACTTGAACCAAAAAATCTCTCCAAATCGCCTCGCAAAATATACCCTTGTAATGCAAGGATATCCTTGCATCATATGTAACCTTCCGCTCAAACGATTGCTCGTGCTCATGACGAAATGACTACTGCTTTCGATATATTTGTAATGTCTTGCTTTCAATAGTTTAATATTGCAATCGATTGCAACTCGCAAAAGCACTACAGTTGTATTGGAATTGGCTTCAAAAACGACGTAATAAAAAAATGACGGCAGTTACTCGTAGTGTTCGTTCGGTTTCACTTTCTCGCGCTTAAGAAGAAACTTTTTAAGAAGAGAAAGTTATGTAACGCTGCGCGAAAATACGGCGAATTTTCAGCAGAAAAACTCTTATTACATGGTCCTGGTAACGAAAGAGTGCATAAATGAACTTGCAAATTTAGAAAAAGCTCCTCTAATACCTGGTGTAGCCAGAATATCCATTTTGTGTAACCTTGATACTGAAAAATCGATTGACAGCAAAATATGTCTGTTCGTCTGTCAATGAACAACGCAACCAGATAAAATGTTCAAACAATTTTCTCCTAAATTGATATTCCCTGATCGATCTGGCTGATGTCACGGCCCTTTGAATTTGAAACTGATATTTTAATTTTGGAGGGTACTTTACGTGAAGCCCCTGGGACATTTTAAAAATTTTCAAAATAATGGCGCCATCGATTATAATTCAATTTTGTTGCTGGAAAGATGTTTAAAAGAATGGCGAAAGTCGCATGTTTCTGAAAAACTTTGGATTTTCCAAAATTGCAAAAATTCAAAATTTCTTTTCTGCATCTTCCTACAACTAAAATATTAAAGATACACATTTTGTCTTATTAAAATCTGTTCCTGAAATGTAGATTTAGAAATAAGGTCACGTACAATTTTTCGAAAATTTGAGTATTTTTCGAATTGAGTAATTTTGGGTGAGGCAATTTTTTAATTTTTGTCTTAATACTTTCTTCTTAAAAATGGTTCCGATTTTAATGAAGTTTTGTTGTTGCATGGTCTGAAAGAGGTTTAGGAGAATGGCGTAGATCTCTCTCCCACTCTTTCCCTCTCCCCCCTCTACCCCTCTCCTCCTCCCACTCCCTCTCTCTCCTCTTGTATTTCCTCTTCTCTCCATCTCCCTCCCTCCTTCTCCTTCGCTCTCTCTCCCCCTCTCTCCTACTCTCTCCCTCTCCCTCTCCCTCTCTTCCTCTCATATTTGACACACCACTACTGTTTTTACTTTCCCGTATACATATGTATATACGCACCTCCTTGCTCCTTTCATTGGCTAGTAGAGAAAGGAGGTGTCTCTCGGGTGACAAACAGTGAAATTGAATTTTCCTCTGATGATCTTCCACATTATCTATTACCTGAGAGAGCCGGGCTTTTTCTCTTCCTCCGAGGGAAGGCGTACGTAGGATTTTTCGCCCTTAAAAACTCACCGCTTTGATCCTGTTCGAACACGTGAATTTGGGAATAGCATCCCAATACACTAACACCAAAGCGACAGCTTTATCAGACCAAACATGTTGGTTCCCTACATCAGCATTTCTTATTATGGTCAACGCATTCTCTTTTATTACGAAATGTAATATATTCCTCTCAATACAAAAGAAAATTTATTTCCTCCTAATAATGATTCTAGGAAACACATAACTAGTGATGTACACTAAGGGATATGTATATGAAAATTCGAATAAATTATTTGTTTTGCTTCATGTTTCGGTCTGTTCGAAAATTGACTTTCATTCGCAGAATGGATAATAAAATAAGTTTGTGTATTTGCAGAGAATTTCTATTGTACTTAAAATGTACGTTTTCACTTTGTTATAGTTGCTCTTCCAATACTGGAAAATACTCGTTGGTCACTTCACGGATGAGCCGGATATAACCTCTGCAAAATAACGTTTATAGCGTTGCAAAGTGTGATGTAAAATGAAATTTAGTAAAGTGTAAAGTCAGCAAATAAAGAACTAAACACATTAAACTATGCGTTCCACAGAGCATTCGTTATTTTAGTCTTTATTTTATGATGAATAATGGTAGATATAATCATCCATCATCAATAATGAATAGATTTTAAATGACTAGGATACCCCACTTACGACAAACAATACCTGTATGATACAAGTTAGGCCCTATACGACTTTGATGACCCGACTGTTGTCAGAAAACTTTTCTGTTGACAATACTTTCCAATAGTTTTTTTTATTTAATGTCGCATCAACTCTTAGGTCATTAGCGACCACTATTGCGTGTAACGGTATGGTAACTATGAGGATGACACGATATGATGATGATAGGGGTGTGAAAGGACGAACACAATACAACCATGCCCGGGGAGGGACTCAAACTCGCGATCCTTCGGTCCGAGATCGCTACGGCACTACTGCGTTAGCGATCTCGGCCATCGGGACAGGCAATGTTTTATATATGTGTGGAGTTCTTTTGTAAAATTTTCTCCTTTACAATACACACACAAATGGTAGCAACAAATCGAAGATGTATTGTACGAGTAAAATAATTTGGCTTGACAGCTTAAAAACACAGTATTAGTAGTTATATTACTATCATATATATCAAATATCGAAATTCTTGACATTCCGTTTTAGTTCAGTTTATAAGAATCTTATTATATTTATATTCGCTGGTTCCTCATAAATACAAATTTTTGGAAGAATTATTTTTTGTAATTTTTTATTCAAATAGGAGAAATAATAGGAGTCCTACAAGTTTTCAACTAGAAAATAGAGCAAATTCTACATTAGTACCAACATTTTATAAAATTATCTATTTTTATTTCAAACTTTCCACATTTCTTTGGACTACTTTCGGGAAAGGCACAGTGGTCCCAATTAGTTTCAACGAACAAAAGCCTTTTATCATTGCTGGTATTACCGCAATCACCGCAAAACGGGAGAAAGAACCCTATCGAACGCAACACAAGTGAATTGTTTGAGGCAGACCAAACCGCAAGAGAGTAATTGTTCAAAAAATCACAATGAAAGGAAATTTCAGTCGCTTTCTCCTAAACAGAGGGGTCACTAATATTCTGTAGTTCTTGCAATACATGAAACGATTGGACCAGGAGTGAGTGAAGTGAATGTGTGTGGATCTTTTCGGGAGGATCGAAGAAACACATGCGGCATAGAGATGTGCTCCGCCTGCCCGATTTTGCTCGTAGCACAGCGCTGCAGGTCAGTGACACCAAACAAACTAGAAAGAAATTAGACTGAAAAAGCATTAAGTGCCTTTCAGACCGATCCAGTCCTTGAGAAGTGCTTTTCGTTGGTCGCCCTGGGACAGTGGTGCACGGAAGTAAAATTTCATACAAACCTGCAGAAGAAATCAGGAAAATTATGTCGATCAGACTCACTCACATGCCATTCTAAATGAAATGCATATTCATTATCAGAACATCGGCGTAAAGATTTTCGACTGTTAAAAATTATTTATGAGGAAATATGATAATAATTCCGTTGTTTAGTGCAGTTCCGTTGTTTAGAGAATTCTCTACATTGGAAGCTTATCACTGTCATATGGTGAATACGCATTTAAGATTGTAATATATAGTGTGATAAGTAAATTGCAAAATAAAAATAGTATGTAAAATAAAAACATGAAATTGAATAAAGCGTCGTTTCAAATGTGATAAAACGAAAGTATCCAACAATGGATAAAAGTAACTTTATGTGATATCTATTCGATTGGTCACAATCTATATTTATCACATCTAATTCGTCATATTTTTTGGTTGGCATTCAATGTATTGATTGATAACTGATTCTGGGCGCGAAGACTGCTAAGGTCATTAGGCCCGTAAGTGTGGTGCATGTTTTCATCGCTAGCGGTGGCTGTGATCTTCCCCTGCTGGATGGCGATATCCTGCTTCAACTTACGCCAGCTTGCAAGGAATTTCCATAGCCAGGTATCTACCACTAGCGAGGCACCGCCCCAGCCGTGACAAGTCCTAAACTCCCTACTGTTCTCCCGGCCGTGTGTTGTTGTAGGTCATGCGAGGGTGTGTGTAAGGGGTGAGGGTAGGACAAGGAAGAGGTAGGAAAGATCACGCGCGGTCCGTGGCTCTTCTGTTAGGGTACTACTCGCACTACCTTTATTAGGGTACTAGGGTACATTCGCCTGGTGTTGATCTGAGAAACCTCAGGAAACTTTCGATCAGAGCAGCCGGTTGCTAGAATTCTTCTCCAGATAGCGTCCGAATTCGACCTAGCTCTACCTAATGTCGAATAGCCAGTCGCCGTCTGGACTCGAAAGCAGGATCTCCCGGTCGGAGTGTGAAACTAAACGCATATTAAGTTTTTAATATTAAATTATTAGCATGTACCATTCATATGTAAATTTAACAAAAATATCACCTGGACACCCATATCTGACGTGAAATTGAATCAGTATACTGATTGGAAGTCAATTTGATTTCTCCAAGTTTTTTCTGAAGCCTTGCTGCTGCTGATAATCGAGCACTGATGACACGTTTGTTTCGAAAGAAGACACTTTATTCACGATAGCATAAATACTAAAATCTCTTATAATCACTCTATTGGTCATAGATTATTGGAGGTATTAAATCTTGTTATATACTGTGGCAAACCGAGATGTATTCGCTTTTCATAATACTTAACTAAAAGCTAATACATAACTTCCATTTTCTCGGATTTACAATATCAGACCGTATTTATCAGGTCATACCTATTGAGATGCATTATGTCGTGCAATCTTCGAAGAGGTCTTAATTCTTGAGACGAACGTATATTGTAGGACTGTTGCTACAAGCACCTTCTGTTTTGAACAGCTATGATGACCCTCAAAATTTGATCACATACAAGATATATTCTAAAATAAATCAATATTTCAGTTTACGACATCATTTATATGTTTTGAACATCTTATTATGTTTTAAAATACGTTACGTTGAAATACGTAAGTGCACAAAAGAATAACAGGTCTTTTTCTGCATTTGAATAATTTTCTTTACTTAGTTTCAAATCAGTCAAAAAGTGATGTACTGAACCGGGAGTATGTATTCAGAACGTAAGAATCTATACCGTCAGTACCGGTAAGTCAATATAGTACCAAAAATCCGGTTCGTCAGTACCTAGTTCAAAACAATGTTATGTTCAAAATAAATAATCGATGTAGTGAACTGTAAAATTGTTTTATTTCCGCGAACAAATCTTGAATGTGATTAATATCGTGAGTCACTGTCCTCTCTAACAAGCCTGAAGCGTCTTTTGAGGAGGGGTGGTGTTTCTAGGAACTAACGAGAAGTCCTGTTGCAGGTGCCCCCCTCGGCCTCGGCCAGGACCGTCGTCAGGAGCCACCATCCCCCTCCGAGCCTTGAGCACTCCAACGCCCACAGACTCTCTAAGCTGTGCTGCGGGGAGGGCCAGTTTCTGGACCTCGCCTCCGCCGAGTGCCGAACGCCGCGAAGCCACCGCGCGCCAAGCCCCGGCCCCGGCCCCGGCCCCGCGCACAGCCTCCTGCAACGCAGCGGGCTCACGGACTTGCCTCCCAATTGCCCCAAGCCGCAGAAGTACGACCCCGAAGCCAAGGTGTGCAGAGAAGTGTGGAGGAAGAGGAGGTAGTGTGGCCGATGGAGTGTCTTGTGTTCGTTTCGAATTGGTATTTTTTTATTGATTTTGGACTTCAATGGACCGTGTGAAATAACGTTCTATATTTCTTCCTCTTCATCTTTCTTGCCTTCCAGAATTTTTTCCCGTCTGTGTGGCCCTTTTTCTACTTCCATATATTCGAGTATTATTTTGTCCACTCTCCCTTCCTTTCGCCTTTTTTTTATTCAAACTACTGGTTTTTGCACAGGACTGAATCATTCATGTTTTTTTTCTATAGTGCGTGCAAAATACGACGAGTGTATTCTGATTTGTTTACTTTGCAAGAACCTTTGGATTTCTAAATTTCTCTAGTTCGTTGATATTTTATCAATGTAACATTAAACGAAAGTTGTTATAAGTGAAATACTTTTGGACATTTATATAGAAAATTCAGCTTAGATTAGCTGAATCATGACAATTCAGTATATGACAATCAAGTTCTTTCATAATTTATCCTGCATGGTTTGCCATAATGTGTGAAAACATGAAAGCACAGAATGACTCACTTAAATTAATAAGAAAGTTATTATATTTGCACTCACCTTTCAGCTCATTAGCCTTATCTTCCACAATATAAAAATTAAAATCACCTCTACAACTAACTTACCATATTTGTTAATATATGAAGTGAAATATCTGCAACATTGTGTTTTTTTACTGTCCCTCTAACCTCAATTGTTCCACTAATCACATTGGAGTCGGAGATTCCCCAAATGAGCGCCAGCTGCTCGGTTCGCTGGCTAGATGGGGTGCTGCGACCTGAGCACACTGGGGCTCGATTCAGGCGAAGTCGTGCCGTCGTCTGAGGTCCGCTGGCTCGCGACGTGTCTCACGGTCGCTGCACTCTCCGGGGGTTTGAATTGAATATATGTCTTATTTTACGTGGCGAGACTCAGGCAATGAGGCCTGCTCTTCCATCTGACCACGCTCCTTCCACCAGCTAGCAGAGAAAGGAGGTATTTCTCGGGCGATTTGAATTTAGCTCAGAGACGTCATTTAGACTTGAGGATCTTTTACATGCAAGTAAATCTACTAACATGGGACAGCCGGCTTTACTTCCCCTCCGAAGGAAGGCGTACGAAGGATTTTTTCGCCCTTGAAAATCTACGGCTTCGATCGGGTTTGAACCCGCCAACTTGGGTACAACAATCCTTTACTTTAACCATTACACCATCGCCCCGCGCCGGAGTTTAGTGTGTGGGATACAAGCGGCCGTTACCCGTTACCGACGCTCGACTCGTCATTGAAATATGACGACGGCACACGCTCCTAACATTCCAATTATCAGAGGAACAAGTTATCAACTTGGTCATACGTTTGCACAAAGTGACTTGGGTCGTTCTGATTGAAATGTCTGTTACTTGCAAATATGCGCTCTTCTGATCCGATCTCCTAAATCGCTTTCACATTTCAATCTGGTTTTGACTCCTGAATTTTCAGTCGCTACCGTTCTCATCACTACCAAGTCTTCTGGGGTATGAATAAGAAGGAATTCCCAATTTTTTTTCTGATTTGTCAGCGTTCCTAACTTTCTGGGACATTTTGCCGGAGTCTTTACACGATTTGAGAACGACACATCTTTCCAGAACCTTCGGACACTTCAGGGTTGGGTTTCGATGTTGTGTCCCCCCCTCTTCCTGCGTGGCCACGAAACCGATTCGCCTGACATTCGCTTGTGGCGATTTCTTTAATGGGATCTTAGAAGTTCCAGTTGTATTGCACGTGCAAGCTTCTAATTGGATTAACAGTTGTGCCCCAAGGTCAGTATGTTTCAGATGAGCCTCCCACGTCCTTTTGAAAATTGGGATGTCGATCCGGAAAGACATTCGAAAAGGTATGTGTGTTTACACACCTTCAGTATAAGGAAGGGAGGCAGGGCCCTGTCTCCACTAAGGCGTAACTAAAGCCCGTTTTACACGGTCATATTTCATTATTTTTCAGTGGGTACACACAAGTTATGGACCAGAGTGGATGTAATTTGTACGAAAAAATGACACATGCTTCATTTTTCGGTGCAGATTTATTCCAGTTTGACAGCCACGTACCTGACGTCACTTTTTGAAACTGTTGGTGCGTTTTGTTCCATTTGTATAGTTTTAAGAATGTTCTCATGTGTTGAATTGTAATGTAAAGTGATAATGCAGTGAAAAATAAAACGTACTGTTTTCGAATGTCTCGTTCCATGCTCAGTCCCATGGAGCTGTGAATACCTGGAGGTGACATTATTAATCGCGTACCTTTTCTTGAATAGTAACTTTGCTTCCCCCTCTCTGGCACTATCAACGTTTGAAAGCAAAAGCTCGCAGCGAGCACTGATGTCAACATTCCAAACACTTGTCACGAACGTAACGAAATATAAAATATTTTCTGTTGAAGATGAGAACTACTGTCCGTGAGTTTCTCCAAAAAATCTAAAGAAATGACCAAAGCAGGTGAAGATCTATCACAGGACATATCTCGAACTTGTGAGAAAGTTAGAACGCAAATTATTGAGAAAGTTACGAAGGCATGACTGAATTTCCAGAGATTGGCATTAGTTTATAAAATCTAGTGACCGATTTCGTAACTAATACCCGCACTCTACCCGCGTTTCTTCTATCCATCGTTCAACAAAAGTTGCGCGAGTAATACCAACCTCTGCTATGTTCAGTAAGTGAAGCCATTCCGCCATATTGAAACATTGTGTGAAACATGAAACTCAAAAGTATTTTTTAAAAGGCTCAATAAGGCGCATGTTTACTGTTACTTACACATTTTTGCTACAATAGAGTTCGTTAAAACTGGCAGGGCCAATTAATATCTCTAATATTTTGCAAATGACAAACGTTTAAAAAAGTTTGAACGCTCTTCTGACAGTTTATCTATATACTATTTATATAGTTTATTTATATATTATGTACATTTTTCTCTCGATGAAATATATTCTTGGAATTTAAAATTTTATATGATGTTATTCACAGTGTTTCAAGAAATGATTGTTTTCCGTATGTTTCAATGAAATTGGACACTAAAAATGGAAAACTAAAAAATTGAAACAAGGTTTTATCGAAATCGGTAACATTTCGCTTTCTCGTGCAGAAGAGAAAGAATAATTTCTTAGTCTGATAGGAAACTGTGGGTGTAAATCAAGAACGATAGCAGACACAAGACAAACAGGTTGGTGTTTTAGACACCGAAGTACAGCAGCTAGGAACAGGATGGTGTGAAACCAGAAAGCTAGCAACGATTCAAGAGAACAGGAAACTAACGTATACTAGAAAGTCTGTGCTGTTTTGTAGCATTACTAGTTACTTTCTCGTATATCTACGTATATACGGAGTATATTAGATTTAATATACAGAAATATTACATTTAATATACATAAAGTTTTGCTGCGCAAAATGAATATTTAGATTTCAGCGGAAATCTTCGTTTAGGGAGTTCCCTGATACCGAAAGAGCTATTTATGCACCAACGGCGTTATGGGGGTACTGATGATCGTGCGGCGACAAAATGAACATTGGGCCTTTGACCCGAGGGCATTTTATCGCCCGAGATCATTAGAACCAAGTAACGCTAGTGGTACACACAATATTTTATTGAATCAGATTTATTAATTATCTAGATGTTAACTTGACTCGTTTCGTACTTCCCTCCCATAATTCCCTTTCAAAATTCTCTCTCTTAATTTCCTCCATAAGAGAACACGTAACATCATTCAAAGGTTTTCATATTTTCTTCGCAACCACGACCCTTTCGGTCCAGGTAAGTTATGTGGTGTATTTCTCAGCTCCGTATTGAAGGCAATAACAAGCTGTAACATATCAGTAAAATATAAAAGTGATTCTTTCAGAAAGCCCATACGTCTGTTGATCAATCTGTTTCGTCTGCCTATCCGTCTGTAAGGAAAAAACACTTTCACTTTATCAGGAACCCATGAAACGAATTTTTCTGGTAGAAAATCCTGCACTTTTTACAGCATCAAAACATAACTTTCTCTACTACTCCATATATATGCATAAATAATAAAGTAAAACTTATAAACTTAACAATGTTATTCATAAAAATAGATAAAATTAATATATATTTTTAATTGAAACAGAAAACTATGTTAATATTGGAGGTTGTATTACAAATAATGAAATATATGATCTGATTTTTGCAGTCTTGTTAAAATGTATTATTACATGAATTCGGTTCATGAATCAATACACTAGCAAGTATTAAGTATTGTAACAAATATATCATATTATCGGTGACATTGCTCCATGATATTTCATTTATTTGTCTCTTGTTATTTGGATTGCCGTTTTATTATTTCAAAATAATATATATATATATATATATATATATATATATATATATATATATATATATATGATCCCATTATATACTGTCCTATCACTACCTGATTGACAAAACTTATAATTGGACCATATATTATAATTTATTTGTTGTATGATCAATTTTTTATTCCTTGGATTCCTTGTTTATCGGCATATGGTCTTGACATTTGTCCATAAATGTAGTATTGGTTATTTTTATTTCTTGTGCTATGATTTTTATTCTTAATTTTATTGTTAAAATGAGTATTTAAACTTTGGTGATATGATGTTTGGTGTTTGAAATTTTATTTAATGGAAAACTTCATTACTACAAACGAAAGTCTTGTAATCGAGAACATATATTATCTATTTTCATCTTTAAATGTATATCGATTATATCACTTACAAAACATGACACGGAGCTTGGCTGATATTAAATATCGGATGCAATCGTGAATTTACCTGCTGCATTACAAAGGTCAGGGTGATATTGACGCTATGCTAATAAATTATAGTTATGGGTTTGAGAAATCGATTGGAAAATAACTTCCGTGGGGTCAGCTAGAGCAAGTAAGCACCGCAGCACCCCTGGTTACTGTACGACTTGTGGCGGATCTGCTCATTTTACAAGTTAACTTATTCCCTTTTGGCCCAATACACTGTCCA